TAATAAAAATCAAATACCAAATAGCCCTACACTAGCAATTTGATACACTTCCCCCACCATTCTGATACCTATGTGACAGGCACCTTAGAAATAGCAGACAGATGTTTAGTTTTTAAGATTGTTTCTTAAAGAAACAGGAACCCCGCGCCCCCGATTGTTTTGTTGACTTTTATAGCCCCAAAACTTTCAGTTTCAATTCAAGTACACAATGCCCAACATTAAGAGATTTTTGACAGTAGGCACAACTCAATCAATCCATAGTTGGTTGGCATAATGCAGTTTAATTGGTTAACAGGCTGTAACAGAACTGGTGGTCTCACAGGCAACGTCTGAGATCATGACTGTGAAATGCCTGTTTAAAAGTTTCTTATAACTCAAATTTACTGGCATAGCCATTTGATACCCTTCCTTCCCATCACACTGCAGGCTGATATAATAACTAAGGGCCCATATATTGAAAGCTGGAAACATTCTATGGGATGGCTCATAATGTGGCAGTACAGTCAGAGTGGTTAGCTAGATCGCCTCTTTATTTCGTGTATTCAGAACAAATTAACTGCCCATACCAGAACAGACAAATAGACTAGCTAGCATGGTATTCTCTCTTCAATGGTGGCTTATACCAGATAATTCAGAAGAGAAAAAAAATCCCTACACTGTTCATTTACTTTAACTGGAGCTGGGTCACGCCTGAAAAAATGATACTATATCTAAAACCTTTTAAATGTCAAAAAGCAACCAATAACAAAAAGCCCTAACTTTGATCTAATACTGCCTCAATTTTTGTAATGTGTAGTTTTTTTGTAGACACCATCATAACAAATTGAGGAGCAGATACATGAAAAATGTTATCAGAATTTAAATAAAAATTTAGGATTGTGTACTTCTCAGTGGGAGATAGTATAATTGTATTAATTAGAGAATAAACTGCTACACGCATGCTTTTCTTTTCATGAAAGCTGGCTTGTGATGAGCACCCACCTCAACACACTCACTCTGTGTCTCTGAGCCTAATTTCTTTTAAAAAAACCCAACCATTTTATGATGTCAGGACTCCATAGATACAATAACAACCCTAGAATATCAAAGGATATGCCTGTTTAAAATAGGGATGTAATCGACTTATCGGATAGTTGACACACTAGTCGACTAGTCACTTCCTCCCCCTTGCTGTCTATCAGAAAGAGGCAGTTGGGGGGGGTGGGGGGGTGGAGAGAAGCCACTTCCCCCAAGCTCCAGCTCCAGCTCCGTGGAAGGGGGCAGGGCGCAGCAGTGGCGTTCCAACTTTGAAATGCATAACAGTCCCCACTGGGGCTCTTGCGCATTTCAAAGCGGAAGCACCTCATGGAGGCTGGGGCCAGCGGTGAGTCTCACTGAAATGCCACGTGGGACTTGGGGTCAGCTGGAAGAGCCCACATGGAGCCTGGGGTCAGCAGACTCCCTGCTGACACCGGGCTCCATGCGGCGTTTAAATCTTTGAAATGCACAAGAGTTCCTGCTGGGGCTCTTGAACATTTCAAAGGCGGACCGCCGCACTAGTCCTTATTGACTAATCGAATAGTCAATGGAAATGCCATTGACTATTCGATTAGTTAATCGAAATTTAACATCCCTAGTTTAAAACCTACAGAGACTTCTAAGGGGATGTTAAGGTACAGTAAATATCATCAGGCTACAAACAAAGAAAAGGGAGTTGAATTCTGACCTCACATTATGTACGCAGACAGCTATGAAGCACAGCACAGATACAGTAACTAATAGAAATTGGCAGTACCTTGGTAAGTAATTTCAATCATCACTTTATATAGAAACTGATATCCTTAAATAAAAATGCACACATTGCATTATCTTTGTTTTGCCTGTCAGTAGCATCTATGGATGCCACCCTTCTGAATTTGATTTGGACAGCTAGTTTTTAACTGCAAACTCTAGTAAAAAAGGACACCTGACAACCTTAAATGGCATTTGAATCTGAAGTCCAGTTACTGGGGGGGGTTGGAGGGGGCGCTTGATTGTTAACCTACGCCAGCCCCTGCCTTCTACCTGTAGGCAGATTCCTCGGCACAATCCAGAGAGTAACAGAGGGAGGAGGGAAGAGGAGCGAGTGACGGGGAGGGGAGAGATTTTTTTGGGGGGTGAGGGAAAGGCAGAAGAGGTTGGGCCTCTAGGGAAAAAGTGGAGAGAGGGCGGAGCTTTGAGGAGGAAGGCAGAGCAGAGGTGGGCGGGTAATGAGGCCTTGGAGTGCAGTTACCAGCTATTGGAAAGGTGACAATCCTGCTAAATATCATTTCAAATGTTTCAGTCCTGGAAGTTCTGAACTGGACTTGGAATTCTGACAATTCTCGGAATTGTACACAATGCTTGTAGGAGTGGGCGTTTGCATGTTTGCAGTTCCTAGTAGTAGCACTACGTGAATGAGCAGTTGTAATGATACCTAGAAGTGGTCTATTGCTGTTCCTATAAACACAGAAGAGAGCACTGAATACTGGAATTCAGACACTTTCTTTCTTTTCCATAGATGGTAGTAAGCAGTTTGACTAAGTATATCAATTTATTATAGTCCCAATCAAAGACGAAGCCAAGACCATAAAGTGGTTGAAAATGTCTTGGTGGATTATAAACATCTTCAGGCAAACAACATAAAATAATTATTCCATTCTGGACTGAAAATGCATAATACATAATAAAACAGGCAAATTAAAAACAAGCAATTTGACTGGTTAGTCAGACATCCTAGCTCTGTAATTTCATTTAAAAAGTATGGGGGAAAATATAATCATTATAATACTTCATCACTTTTCATGAAAGATTCAATTTAAGAGATTAGATTCACAAATAATTAGCATTCATTAGAATATATACAGAATATATACAGTAACAGTAATTAGTACAAAATACACACAAATCACTTATTACTCACAAAATAATCTAGGCAGTCTCAAATATCTGGCTATATTTTTTTCTGTTACAGAATGTAAACTGCAACCCACTTTTTTGGCAGAAAGCTCAGGTCATTTAAAGATTTAGGGTTCAACACTGCAGCTATGAAGATCTCCATTTAGTGTGGGTGACACAGGATCAGGACCATAACAATGGAATGTGTAAGAGTATCAAAGAAATTATTAAAACTTGCTGGCTAGTAAATATTTTCTTCATAGGCTATTTGGTTCGTGTTCTAAAATTAGGTACAGATTAGCCAGATTAAGCAAATTATTATTTACAAACTGGTAGTTTTTAAAACAATATTAAATCAAATTTCTTTCGAGCAATTCCACAGATAATAGGTTTAGCTGAGAGTGTGATGAATGAGACTAGTTCCCTTATCACTTAGAACTTTCACTGTAGTAATGCCATTTTTAAAAAAAAATTACAGTTTCCGCATAATAACCATTCATTACTATTCAGTGGCCATTCATAGCATGGGAATTAAACTGTCCAAATGGGAGATTTTAGTACAAAAGCCATATATGCCCTCTGCATAGTTTAAATGCCCTTTGCATCAGACAAAGAGCTGAGGGAAAGACCATGAAAGAGACCACTTTAATAAAACTTTTCTTACAATGTGGTGCAATGCTCAAAATGATATATCTGCAACAGTATGTGAAAACAGCTTACTGCTTTAAAACAGAGAAGTTATTACAGCTGGAGACCAATCATGTGATGTACATGGATTCTATGTTATATAAAGCGAGGATTGTGTTACACAGACACTGTTAAAATGCTGGCGTAGGTGTATTATTCAGAGGCTTTTGTTAGAGTTCCACAATGCTAAATGGAAAACTTTTTAGTTGTACAGAGATGCAGTAGGCCTGCAAAGGCATCTCTAGTTCTGGCTCATACTACCTCTCTCTCTCTCTCTCTCTCTCTCTCTCTCTCTCTCTCTCTCTCACACACACACAGACGCCAACGTACACACACCATTTTAACAGCTACTGCACAATAAATACAAAATGCTACACAGAATTAAAACCACCCAGCAGATGATTACTTAAACCAATAAAGCACTGAATTTTCATAATATAAAGTTCATGGGGTGGGAAAATATTAATGAACACATATTCTACCTAGCACAAATGAGTTGCTGACCACAGGGGACGGACATGCGTAGCTATACTTATATCTTATGAGCATTTGCTAAACTAAGAAATTATCTTCCACTAAGACATTCTGTTATTTAGAATCTCTATATACTTAAAATGAGGAAAATCAGTAGACTTTAAAAAAAACCCTTTTTGTATACACTTTGTTCTTAATTTACAGTTAAAAACAGGATGCAAAAGCTGTTTTGTATTAAATTACTTTAGGCACATAACACTTGTTTTGAAACTTGGTTGCCAAATGCAACTTAGCAGCTGTAGTTTCAATTATTTATTTCAACAGCATCCAGAGGCTCCAAATCAGGATCAGGTCCCAACTGTGCTAGGCATTCAAACGTTTGAATTATTTAAGATTATTGGAAAGGAGCTTGAAAGAATTGTGCTGTTGTTCTCCAATTATAGGAATTCACTTCCCAATTAAAAGTGGTGAGGAGTAAATTTGCATTGAGAGCCCTTTATCTGTTTTATATTCAGTACCTTTATCTTTAACTCTGACTTATTGTACTACTGTATTTCAGCAACTTACAGTAGTTGCCACGTGTAGTCCTGATACACTCCTTTAGGAAACTCAAACACTTACTATTCTTTAAAAACATTTACATCATGAATATTAAGATTGGATCTCTTCCTGAACCCTCTTAAGATGACTCTGCTGGCACTTAAGAAAATAAAATAAATTGGAAACTAGGTAATTTCTTCAAAAGGTCTACTCCACAGTCAGAAATCTTAGCCCAAGTAACTGTTATATTGTATATGAGAGGATAAAAAGGCACAGCATAGTGTTCTTGAAGATCAGCCGAAGTTTACCTCAACTTCTATTTTGAGTTAGCAAAAGACCAGCTCATTCACTTATAGTCCTCAAAGTGTTTAAGCTTTGGAGCCAAAAAAATATGGCATACCTACCTTAGAATGCAATTCTGCTCAACAGTGTTAGTTTTGTTTGTTAGTTCTCCATCTTCTCCTAAATCCTCAGCTGGCCTCCTTATTTCAACTGTGACTTCCTGCAAAGGGTTTATAACATATTAAGACACCAAGTCATCAAATTTCAGCCTTCTGAAAATCTATTATTATGGAACCTCTTATTTGTGGGTTTGCTCTGCTTAAGCATATGTAAAGTCAGTAACATAGCATGTCTTATGTTGGTTTGGCTTCAGGGCCGTATAGCATGCCATGTGACATCTTCTATGGCAACACAAACCTTGCTCTGCTCATGTTACTAATTTATCTCACTGGTCTAGAGGAAACATTTAAATATAATATTTAAAAACTTAGCAGCTTCTATTTGCCAAAACCAAATATTGTAAGAAGTATTGTAAGAAACATATCATTATTAGCATTTTAGTACATGCAAGCATCTGAGGGCTTCTGAACTTTCTGTGTGTTTCTGTTTCTCGGAAAAACACTTAACATTGAACTTCCAGAATTTTATTATCTCAGTATCTTCAAACAACCACATACAAAGTCTAACACTGTATTAGAAACTTGGAGTTCATGGGAAATACAATTGCACTGGGCCCTCAAGCCAACTAAATTACATATGTGAAACATGTAAAAGACCTTACATTTACTTTAAATCTCATCTGTGTTGTTATATCTATATATCTACAATGCACACAGTACTGTACTGTCCCAATGAGGTTCTGTGGATTTTTTTGGGATGGGAGAGAAAGATGCATTTGTTTTGTGCCATTCCAAGTTGCCTCCACTCAACTTGATACTAACAAAACAAATGCACGTATATTACAGGATTATTTCTACTGCTGGATAGGCAATAAAAGATGGAGTAATTTAGCTATTTCTGTCTTCTTCAGAATAAAAATTCTGCTTTTGGACACAGTCACTTGTAAGCTACAGCTCTGGAGATTTTATATACAGGTAACTCTTCCCCACATCACTCCAAAAGTCCTAGTGAAGTTTTTTGTTAAAACTAAAACCAAACTATGGATCAGGTGAGTTTTTCCCTAAAGAACCTCTTGTCTTGTCAAACTGCTTTTTGAAGTCTGACACCTGGATTTTTATCCCCAGGCAGAAGGAAACTGGAACATAGGAAATTAGATATGAAGGGGAAAGGAGGAAGACTGTTATAAACATGTGATACCCTAATTTTTTCAACTTTAATATTGTATATTTGCAGACAAGGCTTTTCAGGTCAAAAAGAGGGTGCCTTTCTCCTTCAGTAGCTTTACATGTGACACGAGGCAAGCTTGAAGCTTGAATATACTTTTAAAATAACAATCTCACAAGGGTTAGTCACTGAGGGTATGTCTACACTACAAAGTTAGTTCGAACTAACAGACGTTAGTTCGAACTAATTTTCCTAGGCGCTACACTAGCGCTCCGTTAGTTCGAACTAATTCGAACTAACGGAGCGCTTAGTTCAAACTAGGTAAACCTCATTTTACGAGGACTAACGCCTAGTTCGAACTAGCTAGTTCGAACTAGGCGTTAGTCCTCGTAAAATGAGGTTTACCTAGTTCGAACTAAGCGCTCCGCTAGTTCGATTCAAATTCGAACTAGCGGAGCGCTAGTGTAGCACCTATTAAAGTTAGTTCGAACTAACATCCGTTAGTTCGAACTAACTTTGTAGTGTAGACATACCCAGAGTTCCTTTGCCTCACTACACACCGCATCAGTGCTGCTACAATGGAGGTTGGCAACTAATTTAGCAACTGGACTGATGAGATCTCCAGAACTGTTCCTAGGTACATTAACTGCCTATCTACTTAAGTGGGCTTTTCTCTCCAGGGAACTTCTCAGGAAGATGTCTGACAAAGAGAAGGAAATGTGTGTTCCCAAGTGGATAGGCCATGTGGTTAGAAGTCAAGAGGCCTGGGTTTTATTCCTGACTCTGCTACTGATTTATATAGAGCAATTCCCTCCACTTCTCTGTACCTCTATTTCCCCTCCTACCCTTCGGCTGTCTTGTCTATTTAAATAATAGGCTCTTCAGGGCCAAGACTCTCTTATTATGTGGTTGTACAGTGCCTACTCACAGTACAATTTTTAAATTCCTTGACAACCCTAGTACGGTCATTTGATGCTTGGTTAACTGAGTGTGAACATTAAAATATAAGGAAAAGGATTACTGAGTATAAAAAATTGGTTGACTTCACTTAAGGTAGCTTTTCTGGAACATCCAAAAACATCAGTGATGAATGAGAAGAATATTTTATTTCTTTCTGAAAAAGTGACAGACTTTACCCAAAAATCAATATTTCTCCTTCATTTGAGAACTTTGGCCACTTTGAAGTTTTCTTGTACTATAATTAAACCCCTGAAAATACAAGGTTGGATTTTCAAAAGCATTTACGTAATTTTGAAAGTCAATATAATTTGTGCTCTTGAGCCATTTAAGTGCTTTTGAAAATCTCACCCATATGAGTCATCATGGAAGTGCCTTAAATATTGCATGATGAATACAATGATAATGCTGAAGAAAATACCATATTGTGATTTTATTGTGCTCAATATAAAAAGTTCACTCAATGTTGAATTATTGATTGGGTTTATTAAATATATAAGAGATTTATGAAGTTCAATAAGCCAGTTAATTTGTCTAAGAGAAAGGTAAGACTTTACATTTATTATGGTCTATGAGTACCTATCCTGCAGCCCCCCAATTGCCCCCTCTCCCCAGATGGCAGCCTGCGGCAAGTGCAGCTGGTCTGATGGCCGAGTGCTGTGATGTGCCCAGTGTGGGCACTCAGGGCAGTCCAAACCAGGACTGCTTTGCAAGCGGGGCACCCCTGAGAACTGTCTGTCCGGGGTGAGGGTTGGGTCCCTTTAAGCACAGCCCTCGGCTAGCCTGAGACAGCAGCTCCACGCTCTAAGTCCTAATCTGATGCCCTGCCGGCACTGCTTCCGGCCATCCTTAACCTCGGTTCAGGGTCCACTCAGGGTGGACATGCTAGTTTGAATTAGCAAAATGCTAATTCGAACTAGTTTTTAAGTCTAAATGCGCTAATTCGAATTAGCTTAGTTCGAATTAACTAATTCGAACTAAGTTAATTTGAATTAGTGCTATAGTGTAGACATACCCTGAGAGAGTCAAATAATGGTCGGGATTAGATGGTAATTATTTAATGACAATAGATAAAGAGGTTAAAGCACATGTTTTTAGCCATTAAACCACAAATGCCAACATCAAAATATACCAAATATCCGCAAATCAAACTCTAAAAAAATTCTCAAGCAGCATTTTTCTTACTTTAAATTTCTTTTGTCATCAATGGAAATCTCTTTTTTGTTGGTTTGTGTGTATCCAGTGAAATAGACACTTATGTAGATTTACTACTAAAAACAGAATCTGCACAAGCTATCTATTTTAAAATGATGATCAAATTAATCAGTTTCTCTCCTCTTCCGTCATGCCAGTTACAATAGAAAAGTGACTTAACTGTTTAGCTCAGTGTATTTTGTCCCATGCTGAACTACTAATGCATCAAAAATGAGAAACCTTTTTATATGAGCTACCTGTAACAATATAATAACAATACTTTGTCTATGTTCTTTGACTATACTTGAACAGTTACACACACAATAACTTTTTTATTTCCTCTCTGTCACATTTTAAGGTAATTAAGAAGGGAATACAAAATCCTCTTACCTGTTTGTAGAAATCAGTAGAAGGAGATGACCTGGATCTCTCATGTGCGTACTGAGGATTCCCTTGCTGCTCATGGCTTACATCAAGGATGTTATCAGCTGAATGGTACTTTCCTGAACTCCTTGGCTCTAGAGGTTTTCTCTGCTCTTTCCAGGATGCCTGATATTCTGCAAAAGTTCCCAACCTCTGAGGCTGTTCCATTTTCATCACTTTGTCTGAAGATTTATGAGCTAGGTAATGGACATTATCTTTTGTAGCTCGTGTACTTTCAATTCCAAAAGAGGCTGCCCGAACCCTTCTGTCATACCATGGTGCCTCACCCTCATGTCCATGAGCTTTCTTATCAGACCGCTCAGGCAGACTGTAGGGAGTTTGTTTCTGTGCAGACTTACGATACGTGGGTTTACTCGTTTCTTCAAAGAACTTCCACTTATCTGCAAAAGAGCCCAGGGCTTCATTGGATGTATTTGGGCGGCAGTGGGAATGGCAGTCATCTTCAGACACCCCCACTTCATTCATCTTTTCTGGTTCAGAGTAAGACTTCAGTTTTTGTTCTGCTGTGAACCTCTTCCTAGCGCCAATGCGGGAAATATGATGAGTGCCACTCCCTGATGAGTTTGGTTTAGCCTGCATAGCCTCAAGAAATTCTGACACATCTTCAGAAACCCACGCCAATGAAGAGTTGCAATTATTTGTCTTCCGTTCCGGTGATCTGGGTAGATAATCAACAGGGCTAGGTTCCAAATCCCGCCGTTTGAAAGAAGTAGCCTTCAGGACCCTGGCTTGAGCCTCCTTCAGGTGATCTGTGTAGGAACTGGTAAAAGAGCTCTCCGAAGGTGTGTTTAAGTTCTCCACTGAATCTGGTTTCCAGTTTTCAGTGTACTCTTCTGTTTCACTCGACCCTACTAAGGTAGCAGTGCTTTTGCTTTTCTGCAGCTTGGCTCGCCTCATTTGGATCTCATTTCTCAGGGTTGTTGCAAAGCGATCACTCCTGCGGGTCTGCTTAGCCATATGAGTATCAAAGGCGGGCTGTCTCTCCATTCCAGGTTCCAAGCAGTTGCCAGACTGGCTTTTTCCTTCCTGGGCTAAGGAATGTAAGATGGGGGTCTTCTGAGCAGAAATCTTACTACACTCTTCTGGTTGCCCCCTCATATCTTTTTGGGTAGCTCTGTGTTCAGTGACAGGGACACAGCTCTTTGCACACTCCTGCTGGTTGGCATTTTCTTCCAAACTGCCATCAAAGCTTTTTTTTTTAGCAGCTTTTTTAGTATAACTTATTTTTTTAGGCTCTTCCACTAGAGTAGACTTAACATCTCCTCCATTGTCTACTATGTAGTGTCCACTCTTCTCATGCCCTTCTAGCAAAGGCTCGACCAGTTGTTGTGGTAAATAGTATTTTGGTTTTTGGACCATTGTGACTACTGCAGGATTTTCATTAGATCCATCAGCCCCTATTCCAGATTTCCAACATTCATCCTTAAGCTGTACTGGCCTTGAGCTTCCCTGGGCAGGCTGTTTTGCTGTGACGCAATAATAACGATTCTGCACAGTGTTGTCCAACTTCTGTTCAGCAGCACTGTTACTAGCAGAAGTGTTGAGCATTCTAGCTTGATTTGGACTGTAGCAGTGAAAGTGATTGGCAGGTAGCTCTTTATTGTCCCCATAAGAGGAAACATGCCGCTGCTCTTTAGGTGAAGTCGAAGCTCTTGCATGGTGAAAGAAAGTGCTTTCATCGCTGTATTGGCGCTGGTGGTGGTAACCGTAAGCAGGCTGTGCAAACCGAACATCAGTGCTGGACAAAGAGGACTGCAGTCTGTTAGCATTTCCTGAATTGTTGTGATACCTTTCACCAGCAGAGGACAAATTGTAGTCCAGACTAGTGTCAGATTTATAGTTGGAATTATTGATCCTCTTTCCATCTGCACATCTGTCACTTGTCCGAACAGGTCTTCTTGGTTGTTCTGCAGTTTCTGATTTCCAGTCCCTCCTGTGCTGAGACTGGTTCAGAGCTGTAAAGTGCTGAGTGCTGGCCTCCTCCGAGTACACTGAACCATGGGCCTTCTCGTGGCCTTTGGTAATAGCAAAGCTGTCACTACGGAGAGGTGGTGGTGGTGGAGGAGGGGAGGATGATTTTTTTTCAGGAACATGCCAAATAGGTCCAACTCTTGATCTTCCACTGCCAGAAGGCTTGGAGTCCGGCTGTTCCTCCAGTCTAGGACTCTTGCTAGTCTCATATTGAATGGGAAGTGGCAAGAATCCAGGTTTGTCCTCCAGCCCACTGTTATTCATGAACTGGCCAGCCTTGCTGTTTCCATGCTTTGCAGTGTCCCAGTGGCCTACTTTGTACAGCATGTTCTCCACTGAAGCAGCATCCATGTTGGACAGAGTGTGATCAGGGGTACTCGAACTAGTAGAGAAAGAGCCATAGGCAGAATCCCGCTTGCTTTGGTTCCCTAGATGATCAATGCTGTTGTTGGACTTCGCATATTGGGATGTTTGGAGAGAGTGATCCCAGCTGTCCATACTTCCCAGGGAACTGAATCGTTCAGATGTGCGATGCAGATTTGACTGATCCCATGAGTTGGACAGGTCATGAGAGGAGGAGCTGAAACAGAAGAACAGACAATACCATCAGCTGTAAGTTAATATAGCTATAGTAATTAAGCTGATTTTAAACAGGGGAGTTGGTACAATCCATCCACATAGCAATTATCAGAGAGAAACATGAGCATGTCTCCTAGTGGTTTATCTTTCTCTCTCCTCCACAATTAACTTTGCACCTGAATTTCAGCAACCGTGTCTTAAGTTTATCTTCCTGCACAACAGGCATAATGAGGTATAAGTAAATTTACTTCTCCGAGAAACACCCCTTGTGTAAGATCATGCTGACATTCAAAGAAAAGTCTGACATCCCTCTTTTATCCCCTTCTCTTGATACCAAACCTCAACATTTCACATTTACTTTCTCTCAAACTACCAGCAATCCTATCCCCTCTCACCCCATTGCCTTCTCCTCTTTCTTGCTCCTCCTCCCTTGCCTGTTTCCTTCACAAAATGTCACCCTCAGTCCCACCTGCTTCTCCACACAGAGCTCCACCCTTCACTTCTAAAGTACAATGTGCTGCTTGGAACCACTATCACCAATCCCTCAGTTAGCATGTACCCTCCCTCTATTTACCCTCTCCCTTTCAACACAAAGGTTTCAACTACCACCGTTTTGTCAGTAACTTGCAAATCTATCACACCGCTTCACTCCCTCCTCCTCATCCTGCAACTCAGCACAGCTTTTCCAACATCTCTTCCTAGGAGTTCTGCTGTCAACTTCAGTTTAACATGGCCAGTGCTCAACTCCTGGCCTTTCCTCCCAAAAATTGTCTGCTCTCCCTGTCTGTCATGGGTAACTCAACCACCATCTTCCAAGTCACTCAGGCCTTCAGCATTGCCCTCTCTCTTACTCTTCAGACTGCTCCCAAAGTTTGCTGCTTCTTCCTTTATAACCTCGCATTTTGCCCAGCTGGAATTTTTACCAAGGCTCGTGTTTCTTACATTGGTCACTGTTATCTCCTCCCCTCTGACTCCGTGACATCAACTCTAATCCACACAAAACACAGCTACTAAGTTTATCTTCCTGCCCACTGCTCTGACCACATCTTTGACCTCTAATATTAGCTCTTCATGCTTCCCTGCAATTAATTCAATGAATTCCTTGAATTCAAGGTCCTTCACAACTTTTCCCATCCCTACCTTTCCACTTGCCATTTATCACATTGCTTTCCATACCTCTGCCACTTGGCATCATCAGCACATTTATATTTGTGCCTTCTTCCACCTAGGTTGTCCCCCTAGAATCAAACAGAGAGGCTATTGCCTTGTCCTCCTTTAAATTGCTTCTCAAGACAATTTTCTGCCACAATGTCGAGAAGAAGTAAGCTATTCTACAATGGCTGTTTGATGATCAGACAAGGATAGATGACAGTTAAGCCATGCTAGTTTTTAATAGCAAAATTTACATGATATAAACCAAACTGTATATATTGGACTGTATCTATTTCTCCCACACTTGGTTACTTTTCTTGAGATAAGGAACTACACACATGTTTGTACCAGCCCCAGTATAGCAGAGCCCCAGTCCTGGCTGGATGCTATTGTAATACATCTATTAGAATAAAAGTAATTATAGAAAATTGGTCTGAAATCAACAAGATGAAATTCAATAGAGACAAACACAAAGTATCACTCTTAAGAAGGAAAAATCAAATGTACAATTACAAAAGAGGGAACAACTGGCTAAGTAGCTGAAAAGGCTCTGGAGGTTGCAATGGATCACAAATTGACTATGAGTTAACAATATGATTCAGTTATGAAAAAGGCTAATTTCAACAGGAATGTCACATGTATGAGCCAGGAAGTAACTGTCCTGCTCAACTCAGCACTGGTGAGGCTCTGATGAAGTACTGTGTCCAAATCTGGGTACCACAAAAGATGTGAACAAATTAGAGAGAGAGTCCAGAAGAGAGCAACAGAAAACACACACCCACACACACACACACACACACACACACACACACACACACACAGAAAACCTGATTTATGTGGAAAGGATTAAAAACGTTTACTTTTGAGGAACGAAGACTAAGGGGGGGGGGGCTTGCTAACAGTCTTCATATATGTTAAGGCTGTTGTAAAGAGGAGATTACCGTAAAATCTCAAGTAAAATGCATACTTTTTTTCCGAGTTATTTAGCGTCAAAGTAGGGGTGCGCATTATACATAGGAGCTATATTTTAAAGTTTTATTTTGGCAGAAGTCGATGAACCTGTAAGTAGCCCCAGGCTGGGGAACTCCCCCTCCCCTCCGCAGAGAAACTTTCCCACTACAGCACCCTGTCAGGCTCCCAGACAAGGCAAGGAGTCAGCAGTGCTGCCAGGCTGCAGCGCCCTGGCTCGCTGCCTGCCTGATGCTCCTTCAGGCTGCGCCCGGGGGTCCCCATGGCAGGCGCAAGCTCGGCGTGGCGTGCGGGCAGTTGCCTGGGAGCACTGGGGTCAGGTTTCAAACTCTGCCGCTGGCTCCCCGGGCTGCGTGCGTGTTTCCCAGCGAGCCTGCAGGTGGGAGTGGCACATCCCTCCCTCCTGCTCTTCTGCAGCTTGGGGCCACCTCCTGGAAGCAGGTGAGGCTGGGCTTGGTGCTGGCGGGTCGGCTCCTGGCCTTTTTAAAGGAAAATGTCTGAGGTAAGCTCGATGTACAATGGGGTGCATATTACATATAGGAGTTCAGTTTTTTTCATTATCCTAAGTTTCAAAAGTTGGGGTGCGCATTATACTCGAGATTTTACGGTAATTGTATTTCACATATACTGAAGGCATGATAAGAAGTAATGAAAAAGGGATGTTTATCTTAGGTATTGGGAAAACCTTCTTCACTATAAGGATAGTTAAACTTTATCATAGGCTTCTAAGGGAGGTTGTGGAACCCCATCACTGGAGGTTAAAAAAACCAGTTTGCACAGACACCTGTCAAAAAAGATCATGGGCTGGGCTGAACTTGATGATCTTTCAATGCTCCTTGAAGCCCTAACTTTCTATGTATTATAAGCTTTGAGATTCTTCAATGAAAGGCACTACAGAAGTTCAGAAGGAAGAACAAATATACCTACGTGCGTATATAGCAGAGTGAAATTAACCCAGACTCTGGCCAGATTTTGCAATGCTTCTCAGAATCCCAGAATTTTGACAACAAAACTGTAAAAAAAAGCCCTGTCAATTTGTAGAAACGCTTAGGAAAGCGAAGAGTAGAAGCAGAGGCAGGCACTTAAGTGAAGAACAGGCTAAAATAGCAGAGATGACTAGGTTCCCTGCTTCTCCTCACAAAGTGAGAGGGCAGAGGAGATGTGCGATATAGGAGATCTACTCTATTTTTCCATAACAATAAAGCTGTGGATGAGAAGCCAAAGACCTCCCTACACTCTGAGGGAGCTAAGCAGCATGGGGGGGAGGGGGGGGGGAAGGGAGAGAAAGAAGGTTCCTTCTTTTTCTTTCCAGTAGCTAGAGAGATGAAGTGTCAAACTTATCAGACATTGCTAGTCAAAGACTGATATTGAAGTGAATGATTTCTCACACAAAAGACAGTACCTTGATAGAAATTCCAGCAGTTACACTTCTCTATAACTGCAACTACTAAATAAAGTGTCTGTCAAACTTTTGTAACACATGCAGGCACACAGTGGAAGCTAATGGTGAAATTACACAGCTTAATGGACACTCTTGTATAATTTAGATAGAACAGAATTCCTCTCTTTATCCAGAAGTTTAAATGAAAATGAACACCCCTTTTTAGGTGCCAGGCAAAACGAGAGGATGCATCATCAAGAGGTAGACAAATATAATTTGTAACAGTCCCTCTGCCAAGAAAATGTTCTAATGTGAAGATGTGGGGGGAGCATCACAATGGTAGGGATTTTTTATAATAAAAATTAGTGTCTGTATTACTTTAAGGGCTGAATGCAGCTATTTAAAAAAACAACAGGGAGCATTTAGAAAGATCTTATTATAGATTCATAAGACTAAATGCTAAAGTAAGGAGGAAAGGGGCTGTATCACAAGGTATTAGGGAGTTATGATGGAGAATGTTCAGCAATAAAGTACAGAAACCCAAGACAGCTTTGTTACTTAGGAATGTATCCCAGAATAACTTCCTCTAATTCCTAGCATAACTATGCTGCAAAGGGGAAATAATTGAGAGGAAAGTAACATTTTTATGAGGTTTGTTGCTAAAAGAGTGTAATTTATGAGGAGGAAACTAATAGATCATAGCATGCTCTACTAAAAAAATGCAAAGTTTAACGACCAAGACAAGGAAGCCAGGACTTCCATTACAGGGTTGAATGAGACCTGACAAATGTAAGTATTTTAACTATAGAAGGAGACAGCCATTTACTTTCCATTTTCTACTTGCTATGAACAAACATGTACTGTCGTGGAGATCAGATTATAGGAAGCAATTTCACTAATGGAACACCCAATATCTTAATGTCTAATAAAACAAAAATGCTTGTCCCCTCTAGCGAAGGTTTATATTGCTTTTCAAAAAATCCTGCATTCAAACAATAGCTCTGGCATTTTTCCATTTTACTGAAGATATTAGTGCATTTAGTATATCTTTCCTGCTGCCCTTAAAAAGATTTATGACACTAAAAAAAGTGGATGTTGAAAAGAAAAGCACAGCAAGAAGAAAAATAGCTTTCAGCTGCCTTTTATTTACATACATACTTAATACAATATATTTCTGAACTATACTATTAGCAGTTCTTCACTCACTTGTTGCCATATTGGGAATTCTCAATATTATCTTCACATTTTAAAACAATTTACAATATCAATGAACTCAAAAGATTGCAAGTTCACGGTTTACAATCCCGAACAATATGAAGCACATTATTGTTCTCTTACCGTCAGAGCTTGGTACGTGCAGCTTAAACAGAAACTCACCTTGCATGATACCGGGAGTGCCAGGAAGGGCAGGCATTGGTTGAGGAGTGCTGTGACGTGGCTGGCTCAGGCTGATTCTCAGTGAATTTGGTTGCATGCCAGGAGTGGGGCCTGCAGGCTAGGTCATTTCTTCTGAAATGAAAGAGAGCACTTACTTTTAATGCAGATCTCCTAATAAGGTGGCATGCAGTGAAAGACACTGGGCAGCAAATCTAATTAACTTGAGACAGACAATACAGATGCAAAGTAAGTTTAAATTGCAATGTGCTATGCAATGCTCTACAAGTCAGTTTTGAAAAGATGCTAGGTTGCCTTCAAAAAACTTGACATGCAAACAATGAATCATTAATTCTATGCAAGGTTTGTATTTTTAAGACAGTAAATAAGTACTTAGAATTCATTCAGAACTCTAACTGTTCAAAGGGCTAGGGAGTTTTATGTCTCATTTTATAGCATAGCAACTCTAAGATTTTGTAAAGTTTGTTGCGTAGGTGTGTATGTGGGAAAGACTGTGGATTAAAAAAAAAAAAAAAAGAGATGAGGGACTGAAGGAAGGACAAAACCATGGATATTTTCATTTGATCCCAGGTTGTAAGGGTGACAGAAGCCTGACTTCTAACACACATCCAGTTCTGCTCTAGCATTCAAATACCTCAGAGCATCTGAAATAAACTGAAGTTTAAAGCTGTGTATCTGAAGTGTGCACCCAAGTAAAATCACTTACCTGTCAAATGTGCTAAAGAACAGCAGTTCCCATAGAAATCAATAGGAAATGTGGGCATTCTGCACCATTGAAAGTCAGATAATTTATCTAACAATATGTAGACAATATTCAACTTGTCTAAATATTGATTCAGATGCATAACTTTAGACATTCAAGTCCAAAACACCTAATTAATCACCTAAGAAATTCTAGACCCCCTTATTTACCAATTTAAGTAGTAAGTAGATTTTTGTCTTACTGAATCATTCTGTGAAACCATTTTCAACCTTAGTGCTTACATCCTATGACATCTTGAAAATTAATACTAATACTAGTACTACTAATAATGTCCTTAAGTGGAAGTGCAAATTATTATAATTAATGCTTACAACGCTCCTGTGATGTAGGTAAATATTATTGGCTGAAATTTCAGAGATAGTTTAGGTCATTCAAGACTCAACCCTTTTCAAAAGTGGCTGAGGCACTTTTAAGCCTAGGCCGTATTGAAAGTAGGGATGTAAAATAGGGATGTTAAAAGGTGGGTAATTGGATAAACATGTAACTCCTGAAAATCTCAGCAGTTATGTGGTTACCTGCATCTGCAGTGAGGGGTGCACACCGACTCTCATCTGCAGTCACGATCCCAGGGAGCTGGCTGCCGACCCCGCACTGCTGCCTTTGATACAGAGGCAGCAGCATGGGATGGCTAACCATTTACAGTAAACTTCCGATAATCCAGCACCTTTAGGACCCCGGGGGTGCCGGATTATCAGATATGCCGGACTATCAGAAGGGGGGGCTATGAGGGGTCTGGAGTGGGGTGGGAGGGGATGCCCAGGCCCCTCATAGCTCCCCCTTACGATAGTCCAGCTCTGCCGCAGCAGCTGAATCGGGGATGCCTGCAATACAGCAGCTGGGGTGCTGCCGGGTTGGTCCCGCAGCGCCACCCCTAGGCACTATGGGACCAACCCGGCAGCACCCCAGCTGCTCTGCTCCCAGCTTCCCCGATTCAGCTGCTGGTCAGTTTCAGCGGCGGCTGAATCCCAACGCCTGGGACAAAGCAGCTGGGGTGCTGCCGGGTTGGTCCCGCAGCGCCACCCCTAGGCACTATGGGACCAACCCGGCAGCACCCCAGCTGCTCTGCTCCCAGCTTCCCCGATTCAGCTGCTGGTCAGTTTCAGCGGCGGCTGAATCCCAACGCCTGGGACAAAGCAGCTGGGGTGCTGCCGGGTTGGTCCCGCAGCGCCACCCCTAGGCACTATGGGACCAACCCGGCAGCACCCCAGCTGCTCTGCTCCCAGCTTCCCCGATTCAGCTGCTGGTCAGTTTCAGCGGCGGCTGAATCCCAACGCCTGGGACAAAGCAGCTGGGGTGCTGCCGGGTTGGTCCCGCAGCGCCACCCCTAGGCACTATGGGACCAACCCGGCAGCACCCCAGCTGCTCTGCTCCCAGCTTCCCCGATTCAGCTGCTGGTCAGTTTCAGCGGCGGCTGAATCCCAACGCCTGGGACAAAGCAGCTGGGGTGCTGCCGGGTTGGTCCCGCAGCGCCACCCCTAGGCACTATGGGACCAACCCGGCAGCACCCCAGCTGCTCTGCTCCCAGCTTCCCCGATTCAGCTGCTGGTCAGTTTCAGCGGCGGCTGAATCCCAACGCCTGGGACAAAGCAGCTGGGGTGCTGCCGGGTTGGTCCCGCAGCGCCACCCCTAGGCACTATGGGACCAACCCGGCAGCACCCCAGCTGCTCTGCTCCCAGCTTCCCCGATTCAGCTACTGGTCAGTTTCAGCAGCAGCTGAATGGGGGAAGCCTGTCCCGCTGCCCCAGCACTTCCGGGTTCCTGATGGTTCCGGACCATCAGGAGTCCCGGAGAATTGGATGCCAGACTAATGGAGTTTTACTGTACATGGTTATCCTTTTCCTAATGTAAAATCCTATTCAACTGATTAACCAGTTATCCGTTACATTTAACCACCTGACCAAATAAGGGGCAATGCAGGGATCTGCTCCAGTCCCACTGGGCTGGAGTACCAGCCCTGCACACCAACACCAGGATGGAGCAGGGACTTCTTCAGACGACAGAAGCACCCCTTGCCTGCAGAAGGTGGGGAGCTGCCCCAGCCCCCACCGGTTAATGGTTAATCCATTAAGTGAGATGCTTACCAGTTAACGGGCTAGCTAGTTAACTTTTCACATCCCTAATGGAAAGTCAATGGGACTTCTGACAATTTTACCTAGCATGGGAAAGTAATCTTCCCAAGGTCACAAAGCTGCATCCAGAACCCAGAACTCATAACTTTGATCCTTTAACAGACAACTTTTCCTTCCCTTTTAACTAGATTATATCACTAAATTTTCAAATAAACCCAAGCTAAATATTTAACCATGCCTTTCTCCCTCAACATGGAAAAAAATCCCTTTTTTGAGGCTATTTGTGCAAACAGGCGATGCAAAAGGTTGAATCACATTCCTGTTAACTACCTTCCCATACAGTACATTAAGTATTTCCACAAGGCAGCTGTAGTTTGACAGAGAAATCCTGGGGCCATCTGGGACAACAGGGGCTTCTCTAATATTCCCAGAAATCTTATGCCCTAATAAATCTGTTAGTCGCTAAGGTGCCACAGGATGATGATGATTCTTTTTTTTTAACAGATACAGACTAACATGGCTACATCTCTGAGATTTTCCAGAAATCTTAGGCACTTTAGTAGGTTTTTGTTTATGGTTTTGGTGTGTTTTACTTGCTGCAATGAACAGAAGTAAATTAATTCTACTCAATTCTCTTTCCATAATGCCACATAGAGTTTTACTGCACTCTATCTCAGAAGCAATATGAAGAAAATAAGGAGCGATTTCCTCAGTTTATTCCGGTACTACTGATATTGGAGAAGTAAATTACCGTTATCTATTTTAGGGAAATTCATGACACCATACCTTTAGTGCTTCAGTTCTGCTATCAATGCCACAAAGAATTTAAAGTGTCTATGTCATGAGAAAATGAACATTTTAACACATATGACAAGTGAAACACAAGACTAGAAAACTACCACATCACAGACATTGGTGTAATGAGCAAATGGAAGTGGGAGGAGAGAACTTTCATACTGTTTCTTCTGTCATTCCTTTCAGCAAACGCAATCTGCCAAGGATAAGGAATGGGAATGATGCATTTTGTAAAACCAATACTATACCTCATGGAGCTTCTCAGGATCTTCGTCAGATAGCGCCTGGCCACATGAACATCATTTTCAGATGGCATTTTCTGTGCTACAATATCCACCATCACTTTCATCTTCCTGAGCAGCCAAGCAAGGAGAGGAATAGACTGGACTGAGCTGGGACGTGAGGCAAACTGAGTGGTGGAGAACTTTAGACCTTTGTTTCACATCTTTTATGCTTGTGCACAGATATGTTTTGCAAAAAAAAATGTTTAGCAATGGATTTGGAATTAAGTGAATCACCATATAAACAAAACTGACTAAGTTAAGAACATAAGAATGGCCATACTGGGTCAGACCAAAGGTCCATCCAGCCCAGTATCCTGTCTGCCGACAGCGGCCAACACCAGGTGTCCCAGAAGGAGTGAATTGAACAGGTAATGATCAAGCCATCTCTCTCCTGCCATGCATCTGCACCCTCTGGCAAACAAAAGCTAGGGATACCATTCCTTACTCATCCTGGCTAATAGCCATTATTGGACTTAACCTCCATAAATGTATCTAGTTCTCTTTAAACCCTGTTATAGTCCCAGCCTTCACAAGCTCCTCAGGCAAGGAGTTCCGCAGGTTGACTATGCGCTGTGTGAAGAACTTCCTTTTATTTGTTTTAAACTTGCTGCCTATTAATTTGATTTGGTGGCCCCTAGTTCTTATATTATGGGAACAAGTAAATAACTTCTCCTTATTCACTTTCCCTAAAAGTCCTAGTCTCTTTAATCTCTCCTCATATGCGACCGGTTCCAAAACCCTAATCATTTTAGTTGCTCTTCTCTGATCCTTTTCTAATGCCAGTATATCTTTTTTGAGATGAGGAGACCACATCTGTACAGTATTCAAGATGTGGGAGTACCATGCATTTATATAAGGGCAATAAGATATTCTCCGTCTTATTCTCTATCCCTTTTTGAATGATTCCTAACATCCTGTTTGCTTTTTTGACTGCTGCTGCACACTGCGTGGATGTCTTCAGAGAACTATCCACAATGACTCCAAGATCTCGTTCCTGATTAGTTGTAGCTAATTTAGCCCCATCATATTGTATGTATAGTTGGGGTTATTTTTTCCAATGTGCATTACTGTACATTTATCCACACTAAATTTCATTTGCCATTTTGTTGCCCAATCACTTAGTTTTGGGCGATCTTTTTGAAGTTCTTCACAGTCTGCTTTGGTCTTCAAGGTAGTTAACATTTTAGTATCATCTGCAAACTT